CACACCTTGCGATTAAAGGGCCGAGGGAGTTCTCGCAGTTTGGGTTACCACGCCTTGCGATGGATGTGCGTGATGGGTTCGAATTTCAGAAATGTGGCAAATCCCCTGTGTTTTTGGACCCTGACCCCGCGGATCTGCGTGAGGGGTGGCACCGAATTTCAGAAATGTGGCAAATCCCATGTGTTTTTGGACCCTGACCCCGCGGATCTGCGTGAGGGGTGGCACCGAATTTCAGAAATGTGGCAAATCCCCTGTGTTTTTGGACCCTGACCCCGCGGATCTGCGTGAGGGGTGGCACCGAATTTCAGAAATGTGGCAAATCCCTTGTGTTTTTGGACCCTGACCCCGCGGATCTGCGTGAGGGGTGGCACCGAATTTCAGAAATGTGGCAAATCCCTGTGTTTTTGGACCCTGACCCCGCGGATCTGCGTGAGGGGTGGCACCGAATTTCAGAAATGTGGCAAATCCCATGTGTTTTTGGACCCTGACCCCGCGGATCTGCGTGAGGGGTGGCACCGAATTTCAGAAATGTGGCAAATCCCATGTGTTTTTGGACCCTGACCCCGCGGATCTGCGTGAGGGGTGGCACCGAATTTCAGAAATGTGGCAAATCCCCTGTGTTTTTGGACCCTGACCCCGCGGATCTGCGTGAGGGGTGGCACCGAATTTCAGAAATGTGGCAAATCCCCTGTGTTTTTGGACCCTGACCCCGCGGATCTGCGTGAGGGGTGTCGATTTCGAGCCCCCCCAGCAATTCAGACAACGCGCCCAGGTGAGGCTAAAAATCCTGTTTGGGCCTCCCCCCCCCTCGCGCGGTCAATCAACTAGTTACAGTAACCAGCAAGAAGCAGAACTGTAACACTGGAAACTACAAGCTACAACTGGTACTGGAGACTGCGAACCCGCGCCTACAGCCTGGTGGCCCCACACGGGGGCCGGCGGATATATATATATATTATATATATATATATATAATATAAAATATAAATAAAAAATTGCGCGCTCTTGCGACTTCCCAAGAAAAACTATCCCGACAAAGCAACCTAGCAGCGATGTGTATAAGCATATCTGGAAGCATTCCCCTTGATATTCAGGTGATACTCCAGTTGTAGAATTCTGCTGCTCTCGCAGTCGCAGTCGCATTCGCAATGACAGTCGCAGTGGCAACGGCCTTAGGATCCAATGGAATCCTAAGGATTCCTAGGGATTCCTAAGGCATCCTTAGGCATCCTTAGGAATCCATAGAAATCCTCAGGAATCCTTAGAATCCATAGGAATCCTGATTCCTAGGGATTCGGGATTCATAAGGATTCCTGAGGAATCCGAAGGATTCCTAAGGATTCCTGAGGATGCTTAACTATGCCTACGGATTCCTAAGGATGCCTACGGATTCCTAAGGATTCCTAGGGATTCCTAGGATTCCTTTGGATTCCTACGGATGCCTCAGCCTGCCTCAGTTTCAGCCTCAGCCTCAGCCTGCCTCGGCTTGCCTCAGCCTCAGCCTCAACCTGCCTCGGCCTCAGCCTCAGCCTGCCTCAGCCTCAGCCTCAGCCTGCCTCGGCCTCAGCCTGCGTCAGCCTCAGCCTCAGCCTGCCTCAGCCTCAGCCTGCCTCACCCTCAGCCTCAGCCTCAACCTCAGCTTGCCTCGGCTTGCCTCAGCCTCAGCCTCAGCCTTCTGCCTCAGTCTGCCTCAGCCTCCCCTCCTCCCCCCCCCTTCCCCCCCCATTCAGCCTCACCTTGTCTCAGCTTCGGCCTGCCTCGGCCTCATCCTCAGCCTCAGCCTCAGTCTCAGCCTCAGCCTGTCTCGGCCTGAGCCTGCCTCGGCCTCAGCCTCAGCCTGCCTCAGCCTCAGCCTGCCTCAGCCTCAGCCTCAACCTGTCTCAGCCTCAGCCTGCCTCAGCATCAGCATCAGCCTCAGCCTCAGCCTCAGCCTGCATCAGCCTCAGCCTCAGCCTGCCTCAGCCGCCGCTTGCCTCAGCCTCAGCCACAGCCTCAGCCTCAGCCTCAGCCTGCCTCAGCTCCAGCCTCAGCCTCAGCCTGCCTCGGCTTGCCTCAGCCTCAGCCTCAGCCTCAGCCTGCTTCGGCCTCAGCCTCAGCCTCAGCCTGCCTCAGCCTCAGCGTCAGCCTCTCAGCCTCAGCCTCAGCCTGCCTCAGCCTCAGCCTCAGCCTGCCTCAGCCTCAGCCTGCCTCAGCCTCAGCCTCAGCCTGCCTCGGCCTCAGCCTGCGTCAGCCTCAGCCTCAGCCTGCCTCAGCCTCAGCCTGCCTCGGCCTCAGCCTCAGCCTGCCTGGGCGTGCCTCAGCCTCAGCCTCAGCCTGCCTCGGCCTCAGCCTGCCTCGGCCTCAGCCTGCCTCAGCTCGGGCATTCAAAATATGGCACAGGACTAGTGTTCTGGGAACACGAAGATCACGAAGTGGCCCACAGTTGGCTGCAGGCAATCAAAATATAGTACAAGAATTGTGTTCTGGGAACACGAAGATCACGAAGTGGCCCACAGTTGGCTGCAGGCAATCAAAATGTGGCCTGGGAATGGTGTTCTGGGAACACGAAGAACACGAAGTGGCTTACAGTTGGCTCCGGGCATTCAAAATGTGGCCTGGGAATGGTGTTCTGGGAACACGAAGAACACGAAGTGGCCTACAGTTGGCTCCGGGCATTCAAAATGTGGCCTGGGAATGGTGTTCTGGGAACACGAAGAACACGAAGTGGCCTACAGATGGCTCCGGGCATTCAAAATGTGGCCTGGGAATGGTGTTTTGTTGGCTCCGGGCATTCAAAATGTTGCTCCTGGTAATCAAAATGGGGAGTCCCCGGATTCCCGGGGCACCCTCCCCGGATTCCCGGGGCACCCGTCCGGATCCCGCCTAAACCCCTTTTGGGTAGTCAGGATGCTTTCTTTTGACCCTACTAGAAACCTATCAGTCTTCGCTGTTAGGTAACCACGGGTTGTTCTCAACATGTTTAGAGCATGTTACCAAGGGGGCTTCGCGCGCGCATGTTGAAATCGTCCGACGGCCTTGCGCGAGTGCTGGGGTGGCACGAGCCGTGTCACATAATATCATGCTGGCCACTCTCGCGCGTCTGCCAGGCGCGCTTGTCGAAGTCCTTCCAAAACCCTTATCACCGAGGCGAAGACGCCGTCATCGTCGCCAGCGTGATCAGCATCGTCGCCGTCTGGCTGCCCCGTCGTCGCTGTCAGCATCGTCGCCAGCATCGCTACTACCATCATCGTGTCTACCGTTGTCGACGTTGCCATGATACCGCGCCCGCCCAAGTCGCCGACTCGCATTGAAGTGCCCGCTGGGATGTGGCGAACGGGCAGCGCCACCGCGTTCGCGTCGGTCGCGCCAAACTAGCTGGCCGGTGCGCGCGCGAGCATGCGCGGGCTAGCGCGGCCGCAGTGGTGCACCAGCCAACACCAAGTACGCATCGCAATCGCTTCCGCATGGGGTTTGCAAACCAAGTTGCGGGTGGGTGGGTGGGATGTTTGCGCAAGCAGTGGAGTGAACAATTTCAAGAGCACCGCTGGACTGCAACACGTAGATCGTGCCACCAATTTTTGCACACCATAAAGTGCATCGCGCAGGTTGCACCGCACAGATTCCACATCTTAGATTGCAAATCGTGGACTGCACAACGTCCTTCGCATTACAGAAATTGCATTGCATACATGTCCAAACCTGTTGCTGCACATAGAGCACCACATACACCGCGAAAAACGCATCATTTGGGGCCCACGTTTGTTATCGATACTTTAGGGCGAGTGTTCGCGGCGCTAACGCGGAGGCCACATTTTGAAAACCGCCCGCCCTCCATCCGTGAAGTTTTTGCAAACCTGTTAAGACGTATGTGCGCGGCGTTCAGGCGAGAGCCACATTTCGAAGAGCACCCGCCCTCCACCCGTGAAGTTTTCTATATACATGTTGAAGAAACTACTGCGCGACGCTGAAGTGATAGCCTCATTTTGAAGACGACCGTGCCCGATCTCCATCCATGAAGCCGCTGCAAATTTTGAATGCAAATATGCGCGACGGCAAAACGATAACCACATTTTGCAAACAACCCGCCCTCCATCCGCGAAGTGCTGCAACAACCAAGCTTCAGGATCACACATCGTGAGCAAGTTTCAGGAGAAACCTTGGCCCGCCCTACCGACCCGTCTCCGGATGCGACACGGAGGAGTTAATTGCAATGAACAAAAATGCAGGAAAAGGGGCGAGGAGGAGGAAGAGGAGTAGTAGTAGGAGGAGGAGGAGGAGGAGGAGGAGGAGGAGGAGGAGGAGGAGACAGGGGAGGAGGAGGAGGAGGAGGAGGAGGAGGAGGAGGAGGAGGAGGAGGAGAGGAGGAGGAGGAGGAGGAGGAGGAGGAGGAGGAGGAGGAGGAGGAGGAGGAGGAGGAGGAGGAGGGGAGGAGGAGGAGGAGGAGGAGGGAGAGGAGGAGGAAGAGGAGGAGGAGGAGGAGGAGGAGGAGGAGGAGGAGGGAGGAGGAGGAGGAGGAGGAGGAGGAGGAGGAGGAGGAGAGGAGGGGGAGGAGGAGGAGGAGGAGGAGGAGGAGGAGGAGGAGGAGGCGTAGGAGGAGGAGGAGGAGGAGGAGGAAGAGCAAGGGGAGGAGGAGGGGAGGAGGAGGAGGAGGAGGAAGAGGAACAGGCGGAGGAACATGATGATGATGATGATGATGATGATGATGATGATGATGATGATGATGATGATGATGATGATGATGATGATGATGATGATGATGATGATGATGATGATGATGATGATGATGATGATGATGATGATGATGATGATGATGATGATGATGATGATGATGATGATGATGATGATGATGATGATGGGGGGGGAGGAGGAGGAAGAGGAGGAGGAGGAGGAGGAATATTAGGAACACTAGGAAGACGAGGAAGAAAAGGTGGATATGGTTATTTTATGGGTGTGGAGACGGAGACGGAGGTGGAGGTGGTGGTGGAGGAGGAGGCGGAAGAAGATGAAGAGGAACGGGCGAGGACGGACTACTACCCGAGCGGGGTGGTCATGAACCAGACCGAGATCGAGAAGATCGTTCGCGAGGCACGCGGATGTCAGCCGTCCACTTTACCGCTCGTTTGATGGAGACGTAGAGGGCGAGGGAGTTAATGGGATGGGGACATGCGCCTCTATATGTGTATATCCATGCGTGTATGGTAGACACTCAATTCCAGAGCTGTCACACCCACATGTTAGGTTTGAATGCTTATGTTTTATACCTTTATACCCAGTGGCCTGCATATGTTTTCGAGGATGTATACCCGAAGTCGTCTTGCATGTAACTTCCAGCGACATGTAAAGAACAACTATAGCACGGCCCCCGGATTCGGCACATCGGAATCGGCGACGGAGTCTCTATAATTATCGGAATCCGCAAAACCAGCCACGACAATTCACACATGTACGAAGCTTACGTTGGAACGAAGACCTCGCTGCATCCTTCCTGATCCAATCGTAGGCCATGGTGCTGTATTGCTTGATGCCTGCTTAGGTGAGTCCATATGTTGTTTGTTCTTGGTGTTTCCGATTTCTTTCTGGGCTGTGCTGTTGTTCTTTTCTTGACACCAAGTGTTTTGCGTATTCCTAAGGTTGCCAGAATTTGATCACAGCTTGGTGGTTCGTTTGGAGGTGCCCAGCCACACTACGACTAATACTACGACTACTATTGCTATTATGATTTCTACCACTACGACTACCACTACTGCTACTATTATTACTACTACCACTATTATTAACACTACTATTTTCATCACTACTACTCGTATTACCACCACCACTACTATTATTATTATTATGAATACTACTACTACTACTATTACTATTACTATTACTACTACCACTACTACTACTACTACTACTACTACTACTACTACTACTACTACTACTACTACTACTACTACTACGACTACTACTGCTGCTACTACTACTACTACTACGACTACTACTACGACTGCTACTACTACTAATGCTACTACTACTACCACCACTACTACTACTACTTACTACTACTACTACTACTACTACTTACTACTCTAACTACTACTACTACTACTAGTAGTACGACTACTACTATACTACTACTACTACTACTGACTACTACTACGCTACGACTACTGCTACTACTACTACTACTACTACTACTCCTACTACTACTACTACTACTACTACTACTACTACTACTACTACGCTACTACTACTACTACTACTACTACTACTACTCTACTACTACTACTACTACTACTACTACTACTACGACTACTACTGCTGCTACTACTACGACTACGACTACGACTACGATTACGATTACTACTACTACTACTACTACTACTACTACTACTACTACGACTACTACGACTACCACTACGACTGCTGCTACTACTACTACTACTACTACGACTACTGCTACTACTAATTTCTACTACTACTACTACTACTACTACTACTACTACTACTACTACTCATACGACTCATACGACTGCTACTCGTATCAGTAAATCGTAATGATGTTGACAATCGTAATCATGCGAATAACATTCGGAATCGGACCAAAACGAAGACAACATAACGATACGGATGATACTGCTATACCAGATATGAGGAGGAGGAAGTGGAGGAGGAGGAGGAGGAGGAGGAGGAGGAGGACCAGCGCTCAGACTGAAGAGGGGAGTGGCCGTCCAGGGCCGCGATCCGCTACCCCTCTGGAGGGCTTTCCTGGCAAGCGAGGGCGACCTCGGAGACAGGCGGATGGCTCTCGTCTCGTGAAACGTCCCAGGCAATACTTGCCCCACTCGGATTACCAATCTCGAGGTCGGTGGGGTTCGTCTCAGCCAGTTCTTTCACTAGTTGGGCCAGAGGGATCGGTGCTCGCAAAACAATTGGTGAATTCGCGGCCCCCTTGGGATGTCTACCCTCCGCGGCTCGCTGCTTTTGCAGCCGCCTGCCGTGATTAGGGGGCTCTCCAGGACATTCGTCGGCTAGGCCTCTGGTGCTCTCGGAGAAGGCTCCACAAGTCCAGCACAAAATCAGACTCAAGGGAATGCATTCATCTTTGTAGCCAAAGAAATAGACATTGTGGCCTCGAGGATTGCTCACCAGGCTACTGTAAAACTCGCAGTAGCCAGGGCAATCCTCTTGGTCACGTCTGGCCTTAGCTGCACTAGTAGCGCAACTGTGGCGGCAGGCTGCACATATGAAGCTCTTCCCCCAGGGGTGCCACTGATGCTTTCGACGTTGGATATCGGGGGCGAGCGGGGGCCCCGGCGGACACGAGAGGCCAGCCGACGCAGCCCCAGTGGGCGGGCTCAAACTCAGCATCGGTTTGTCGAAAACTTTGGCACCAACCTTGGGGGCTACAGGTGGCCATAACTGCAAGGCTTCTGATACGTAAGTAAGAAGCTTGACCAGTAGCTCGCTGTGTCCTTCCTGCAACTCGGTCTCTAGCTGACTCGGTTGGGAGGCTCTAGCAGCGGCGATCTTCGCATATCTGTCGGCAGCATCATTGCCTTTGGCTCGTTGCCACTCAGGACTATACTTTCAATCTTGTTTAGCCTTGGGCCCGGGGGGGCAGCGCAAGCACCACCGAGGACCTTGAAGGCCCCGTAGAAATCGGACCGCGAAAAACTTTCCTTTCGGTGCACGTCTATGGCTCCTTGGTAATATACAAACATGTGGGCGTGTGGGTGAGCATTGAGCCCAGCAGCAAGCACAGCACAGTGCTCAGCAGCAGGGGAGGAGGGGGGGAGGTATCTACCCAACGCCCGATGAGGTATGCAAACACGTCACCGTGGCCATCGATGGCCACCACTGACCACCCAGCTACGTTATAATTTTTGTGCCCTCTAGGTTTGAGACAGGACCCATCGGTAAAGATCTCTCCAGCAAGGGCCTCGTGAGGCTGCATGCTGGAGTCTCGACGCCAAAACTCGGCATATTCATAGCCAAACCCGTCGGGAGCCCCTGTTTCGAATTCAGGTTGGAACTGGAAACCATGCGCTACAGCCTGATCCGTCACCTTCGAAATCGTGTCAAGTTCGTCTGCTGTGAACGCATCGCGTAACTGGGCACTGAGCGGGCAATGTAAAAGGCGGTGGCGCAAAACATCACACGGGTGCCCGCGCTGGCACTTGCCGCCAGAGTCGTATCCAGCTCGCTGCAAGCGCGCGTGGGTCCAGATACTCTGGGTGAGAAAACTAAGAAGGGTGGATCTGGCTTTCTTTGGCAGCGTCTTTCCAGCCAACATTTTTCGGGCGACACTGACGTCAAGGGTCTCCTGGGGGTAACCGAGTTTCTTGGCGGCCTTCCTGAGGATGGCTTGCTCGCAGGCCTCTTGCATCTCGTGGGCAATCATTCTGGGAGTGCAGGTTGTGAGTGGGTACAGATACCCATTCGCATCCTGCACGTCCAAAACAGAAACACAACTCCAGCCTATCCGTCGGAGGGACAGACAGGCGGCCCCAAAGGGGCCTCGCTCGGCAGCCCACTTCCTAGGATGGTTCAGAAAAATGGCTCAGCTATGCTTTTCAGTTCAAGTAGTTCTCGGCGGTGGCTGGGTCTCGTCGCAGCTCGCCAGATCATGGTCGACCAAGTCAGGGCAGGGCCTAGGCCAGCTCGCCAAGTAGGGTCTCCTAGTACCGCCAGACTTAAGGAACGACTTCTCGTCGCGCATCGGAGCCCCGCTACTTTCAAGTATTCCGTCTGGAGGTTCTGGAGCTCCTGGGGATCCATGCCGACAACCTCAGTTCCATACGTAAGGGCTTGCTGAAGCCCCGTCTTCCATAGGTTTCTGGTCTCGCCTCCTGCTATCTTGACCGCTCGTATTCGGTGTCGTCGTCGTTTATGATTAACAAAACGCTGGTCTAGGGTCGCTTTAGCAACGCGTCGTCGTACTCGGAGCCCCGAGGCCCCAGCAGCACTGTCGATGTGGGCATCCAGGGCCCCCGCATACTTCCCGAGGGCCTTCCTGATTTGTCTTCGCAGTCTGGCGGTAGAGGCAATAACCTGAGCTTTGTGTAGCGCCAACTTGCACTCGAGCTCTTCAGTAACCAGCACTGCTCGCCTAGCCGCAGAGTATTGCAATTGTCGTACTAGGGCCTGGGGGTCTCGGTGTTGCTGTCCCAGGAATAGATTATCGATAAGCATCTGGAGGTCCGTGCCCTTGGAGTTTGATTCGGTCCAGGCGTCCAGGGGGCTCAGGCTGTAAACTTGTGCAAAAAACGTGGCCCATCCGCATCCAGCTGCAATGCTGCGTGCGGGGTGGTCCACCACCTGGACCAAGTCTCTGGTGGCCACCAGTCCCGTGCTACTGTACTGGTTTAAAATGACCTTCAGCAAGACGCTGCTAAATCCAGTGGCGTGGACCCTCTCTATCAGCTTCTGGTGGCTGATGTGCTCATTGTAGTTACTGAGGTCCCACAGCACCGCGCCTGAATGGAGTGGATCTTGGCAGGCCACTCCACTCTCAGCCTTGAGGCTCTGGCGAAAGACTATTTCGATGATGCTCTTGCCCGCCTGGTGGGCCAAGAAAGTTCGGCGGTGCTTAGCCTCCCATTGTCTCGCTTCAAGTTGTCGGACCTTGGACCATAGTCGGTAAAGCCCTGGCACCATCCCTATCCCTCGAAACTGGGCCGTAGTCTTGGCCTCTGGCTTCGCTTTGGCCTTGGGGATCAAAATCGAGACAACTGCCTGCAGCTGGGTGGGCACCGCACCTATGCTCTCGACCAGGTGCAAATAGCGGCAAACCAGCGCAGCCTGCTCCAAATTGGGGCCCTGAAAATGCTTCGGGTGGAATCCATCCCATGTCGAAGCTGTCGTATGCGAAAAACGTTTGGCGGCTTCTATGATGTGCTGGGGCTCGGTGGGTGGTGGAGAGGGCTCGTGAGGGCCGGCAGGGACATGATAGCGGGGCCTGTGGTAGGTCGTGTCCCAAAGCTCTCCAAGCCTTACTCGCGGAGCGTCTCTATCTCGCAAAACTCGTTCGGGGGGCCCTCTAGGCACGCAATAAGATTGGTCAGGGCGTTAGCATCAAGCCTCGCGAGGGTGAAGTA